GTTTTATTTCGAATAATTTATTGTAAAATTAGAATCTAAACCAGATGTATACATGTTTTTGCTTATTTCGTGCGCTATTCCTGCTTGCAACTTCAGTGTGAACTCTGAGAGACTTTAAATATTTTTAAAGAAGTATTTTTAATAGTAGATTTTGAGAGATGTAGCATTTGTGTCACATGCAAACATCTGTAGGTTTGTAGCTTATTCAGTTTTAAAGCTACGGCTTCAAATTGTTTCACCTAAGGTTAATACATATGTTCAAATTTCAGTATAGTAACACTCAGTGGATGTCCATCGCTATGTCTTCGGCAAAGCCAGTCACCGTCTGTCTATCTGCTTCTTGTCTGTGGCCTGTTTGACCGCGAATCCTCACCTGAGTATCATTTAAAGTTCAGCTTAAAGAGAGGCAATGAACTTGTCTTGGAGCATCCTGTGCTACTTACTATCGGTAAATTGCTAAGTTCCTAATTTACCAAGTTACGCGCAAATTCCGTTGAATTTAGGTGACATCAATGACAATGCTCCTATATGGTCTCATTCCCATATGCACATTACGCTCAACCGCTCAATCGCGATCTCTGATCAGACAACCTCGTTGGTTGCCACTGATCCAGATGAAGGTACTAATGGTAGAGTTCGCTATAGTATCCTGAACTCTGATGTCATCGCGATAGATCCTGACACCGGTCGACTCACACCCTTGAGAGAGGTTTGACAGAAATGCATATCGATGTCATGACCAAACTTATCTATGAATTCAGCTTGACTGTTCCTTGGGACAAGAAATTCGCTTCAAAGTACGAGCTTCTGACGGTGGTGTTCCAAGTTTATACTCAGGTAAGGCTATGCTTATCTCAGTAATTACTGACGACTCATTCCCTACTCAAAATTATACGACATCACTAAATAATTATAGATGTACCTTTTTTGTAGTAATTTGACTTTCGAGCCATTACCTTATCTTAAGCAATTCATTCATTCTTGGGGCCCTTGATTTACATACCAAAGCAATTCTTTAGTGAATATTCGCATTATGTGCAGCCAGCAGTACAATATTTCCATGACACTTTTTCTAAAGTGTTATAACAATCCGTTTATAATGTACAGATCCTGCCGTCCTAAACCTAGAAATAGAATTCATGCATGATGGAACTCC